GTGACTGGGGTAATCGGGATGGGTGTGTCAGAAGCAGTGCAACTGGCACAGGATAGAGCAGGATTTAGGGCTGTTGTACATAGGGTCGCTATGAGCTGCAAGTGACTCGACGGCACATAACAACAATAACAACAACTAGAGTGAGACGGTACCTCATTGTGGCTTGGATTTGCATCTCTCTTAATGCCAGTGATTTTAAGCATTTCTTCTTATGTCTGTTTGCCATTCAAATATCTTTCTCTGTAAAAATTCTTTCCATGCCCATTTTGTAATTGGGTTATTAGTCTTTACCTTGTGGAGGCCAAGGAGTATTCTGTTAACTTTCATTATAAGACTCTTTTCTGAGATGGTATTACCAAATGTTTGTTCCCAGTCAGTAGATTCCCTTTTCACCCTATTGGAAAATGTTTTTGATGCACATACGGATTTATCAACTGTATTCAGAGAGGCAAGAGACCCCAAATAAGCAAAACACTCTGAGAAACAAAAATGAGGTGAGAGGCATCGCACTCTCTGACCTTAAAACCTACCACACAGCAGTAGTAACCAAAATGGCCTGGTACTGGTACAATGACAAGGCACACAGACCAAAGCAACAGAACTGAGAACCCAGAAATAGATCCAGCTATCTATGGTCAATGGATATTTCACAAGGAAATCAAACTTATAAGATGGGGAAATGATAACCTCTTCCACAAATAGTGCTCGCAAAACTGGACTTTCTCTTGCAGAAAGCATTGAAACAGGATCTACATCTCACACCATACACAAAAATCAACTCAAGGTGGATCAGAGACCTGGGAGTAAAGCCCCAAACCATAACGTTCATAAGAGACAACAATGTGGGATCAAGCTTAGAAGCACTAGTCCAAGGTTCAAAGAGACTGCCAAATATAACCAGAAATGCATAATCTCAAGAGGATAAAAATGATGAATGGGACCTTCTAAAGATTAAATGCCTCCAATCTTAATGCCACATTCCTCCTTATAAAGTTCAGCCTCTTGAATGATCTGTTCTGCACACCGATAGAAACAGAATGGAGACAAGACACATCTCAGGTGCATTCCTTTTCTCTCTTAATGACCTCTAATTCTGCTAAGAGCTTCCAGGTGCTATGGGAATGAGCCCTGTATGACCTACTCCTATGTGCTGCAGATTGAGATTCATACACTTGTGTGCAGATCAAGAATCAGTAGGGAAAAAGGGAGAACTAGAGATTGGCTTAGTGGTGTGGAGTTATGCTACCAACCCAAAAGCATGCAGTTTGAATCCATTATCTGCTCCTTGGGAGAAAGATGAGCGATTCCCTCCCATGAGATTTACTACCGCTAAAAACCTGCTGGAGGGTCAGCTCTGTTTTGGTTATGACTTAAGGGTACACAACAACAGAGACTCTTCTTTAGGGAGGGCATGTGTGCTTTAGAGTATGGCCTTGCTGACCACTCTTGGAGGCCAACTCTAGTGGTGGATGAGTTGGCAAGGCACAAAAAGGCTTGTGGATACCCAATACCCCCACCATATTTGGAAAGATGTCCATGGAATGCTACCAATGTTTGTTGATGCCTGATCAGAAAGAACATAGAGCCTCACTTTCACAAATATCTTTGGGTGGGGAGAAACAGCATTCAAACCCAGATTCAAAACAGGGCCAGAGTTACCTACCAGCTTGCTGTGTAACTGGAGCCTCTGTTTCTCTAGCTGTAAAACAAGGGCACTTCTTCCCCAGTCTCTGCTCCACCTAGCCCATGCGTTTTCTCTCAGGCTTAAGATGTCAAAGGGATTACTTTATTTATAGAAAACTCCACAGGGGTTAAGACCCCATACCTCCTCCCTCAGAGAAGAACATGCTTACTCTCTCTGCCTCCCCCTCCTCTTTTGTTCTGGGACCTGGTAATTATATGCTTAGAGATGAAGGCTTTTCAAAAACATCTTTCCAACCAATTTTCAGCTGGAAACATGCATAAGAAAAACAGAGATATTTTTATCTGCATGTCCTACCCACCCCCATCTCCTCCTTCCAGCAATGGGCAATTATGAGCTTTTGCCTTCAGTCAATTTGTCCTGTAAGAACTCAGCTTCAGAAGGAAACTCATTTCCAGGCTGATGCCAGCCAGTCCCTTGGTGAATGCAGGTTTGGAGCTAGAGGTAAGCAGCGGGAAGGTGAGAGAGCAGAGCACAGGCCTTGTACACTTGGTACCTGGCCCCTAGCTGGGGCTAGAGTGGGTGGGTGGGTTTCTTTTTTAGAATTTTCTTCTTGCAATTATTGCTAATTTGCCTTCATTATCTCCATCTCCTCGGCCTCAGGGAGCTATTGAGCTTCTGACAAAGGGGAGAGGAAGTGTGGGCTTCTCGCCAGGCTGCCTTTGTAAAGTCCCGCCTAAGTGGAGTGGCAGGAATAGGCACAGGGCTGGGCGGGGTTGTGAATGCCTGAGGCCTGGTCTGGAGCTTGGAGGAGGGATATCTGGGAGTGGCCATTGGAAATCAAATTTCTAGAGGCCAGAGCTGAGGTAGACAAAAAGTGACTCTGCAATGACAGCAAGCCACCATTAGGACAAACTCAGCTCCCACTGCACCTCTTTGCCAATGAAGAAAAGGCGTCCTCCGATGTGTCCTGAGACTTGACCCAAAGGACTGTATGTGGTGGGTATGGCCAGGGACAAAGGCCTCCAACCCTGGCGGTACTGCCAGCACCAACATGCCACTCGCAACTTGGAAGGTATGTTTGCTGAGATAGAAGAGAAAGGTGAATTGGGAGTTAGGCCAGCTGGGAGTTCTCATTTGAAATGTGCTGCTGACTGGTTAGGGAATCTGGGCCAAGTCATTTCTCCTCTCTGAGCCACAGGTTTCTTCCCTGCAAGATGGGGATACTCGTGCCTATTTCAGAATCTGGGGGGTGCAAATGGCCTGTCAAAGAGAAAATTGCTAACAAGCACATTATGCTGCTGTTAAGGCTTTTCTTACCTGAACTATTCACTGTAAAGAAATTCATACATATTACAGCAAACTATTCTCTCAAATAAAATGGTGAAATGAAGACATTTTTCAGAGAAGTAGAAATGAGGGGAACTTGTGATAATCAGACCAATTGTGCTATATTGTCATCATCGTCATTGTTATGTGCTGTTGAATCGCTTATGACTTTCAGATCTGAACTCTGTCCTATCCCATGCTGTCCCTAAAGTTGCCTAGAGATCCCATAAACAACGAATCTGAGCACTGTTCTATCCTGTGCTGTCCTCACTATCTCTGATACGCTCAAGCCCCTGGTTACAATCACTGTATCAATTCGTCTTGTTAAGGGTCGTCCTCTCTTTCTCTGACGGTCCACCTTTCCCAATATGATGGCCTTTTCTAAGGACTAGTCCCTCCTGACAACATTCCCAAAGAATGTGAGAAGTTCCACCATCCTTTTGGATGGGAGTAAACAACTAAGATGAGTAGATTACTAATGAAGGGATTTGTCAGTTCTGCCGTTCTCAGAAGGTCTAAACCGAGCAGGTTCAGAGTCTTACAACAGGAATCTCGATACCATCAAGCAAGATGTTGTAGTGAGCATAGCTTAGCCTATCAGATCAAAGAGTTCTGTCCAAGATGGAGACCCAGGCCAACAGCAGAGGTGACAAAGAACGCAGGCTCTGCATGGAGACAGAGCTGAACTGGAACTGCTGCCCCACAGAGCATCAAGGGACTTTGCCCAAGCTTATTAAAGGGTTAGATTGGGGTTTTGTTTTGCTTTTTGTTGTTGTTGTTGTTAGATGCCCTCGAGTCGAGCACAACTCATAGTGACTCAATGAACAAAACATCTGAACCTTGTTCTATCCTGTGCCATCCTCACATTTCCTGACACACAAGAGCCCATTCATTGCAGCAGTGACAGTGTCAATCCACCTGGTTGAGGGTCCTCTCCTCCTTCACTGACCCTCCACCCTTCCTAGTATCATGTCCTCCAAGGAATAGCCCCTCCTAGCAACATGTCCAAACCTCATCATTCTTGCCTCCAAAGAGCGCTCTGGCTGCACCTTCTTCAAGACATAACTGTTTATTCTCTTGGCTGTCCATGGGATGGTCAGTGGTCTTTTCCAACACCACAGCTCAAATGTGTCTATTTTTTCCCTGCCATCTTTATTTATTGTCCATATTTCGGATGTATAGCTAGTAAGTGGAAAGACCATGACCTCAATCAGACACATCTTAGTCCTCAAACTGACATCACTACTCCTTAATAATTTGGGAGCGGTCCTTAACTGCAGATTTCCCCAGTGCAATGTGTCTCCTTATTTCCTGACTGCTGGTACCAAGGGTGTTAATTGTAGATCCAAGCAAGACGGGGAGACACTAAAATTGGCAGGACTTTAAAAGCTATATATAATACTAGCTTAAAGTCACAACACTGAAGATCAAATGGTCTTCAACCACTCCTAAGAAGCTATCTTGGATGAAGAATTGTATCATTACTTGATCCAATCTGAATTGTAACCCGTTCCTCACACTTTTTTCTGTTTTTCACTCCAAGCAGATATACCATGTGATTATATGAGTGAAAGGGGCCAAAGCTAGTCCACCTCTTCTCAATAATACCTAAAATATCGATGTCCATGAGTTCCATGTCACTTTTCATAATTTCTAGTTTTTCAACACTCTATCCCATGTTCATTATTAAAGAATGTTTGCCACTATTTTTCCTCATTTCAATTGACTTCCAATCTGGGCTCAATCTCTAAATCTATAACGATCCATGTTCCTCTACTGTTCTTAAGGCTTTCAGAGTGGCATCCACTTCCTAAACAACATGCCTCTAGAAACTCTATGAACTTGGATAAATGTCGATAGTTATAGAAAGGCTTCAGGCCTTTTGTTCATAGGGTTGTTGCTTGACTCGAAGGCAATCAATGACAGCACAACATTATTTAAGAAGTAGATGGCAAATCCTGTTTTCCAGTCTGCCTTAATCTAGGAGCTCTACTAACTTGTCTACCCTGGGTAAACTCTTACAGCATTTGACACACTGGTGGCATAGCTTTCAACATCACAGCAATCCATAAGTTGTCTTAGTACAACAAACTGACAGACAAGTGCTATACCAATTAGAACAATGTATTCCCCAAATACAACAAACTGATAATTTACTATTGCATCTCTAACACCAAATCAGGCTTAACACAAGGCTTCCAACCGACTGTTAATCAAAAAGGCCAAACAACTGGGTCCCAATTGCTTTAAACAAGAGGTTCCCAGCCCCCAAAATACTGTTAATCAAATAAAAATCACATATGTTGGGGATGAAAAACAAACAAAGAAATAAAAAAGAATTTTGTTGCATTCATAGTCAAAAAGTCAATTTCAAATTCCATCCTGAAGTATAATGTTGTGAGTGATAGGATATTATCCATACATATGCAAGGAAGTAATAACAACAATGAGAGAGCTCTGTTGGCCTAGTGAATAGAAAGTGATGCAACCAAGCCAAAGATGGATGATTTTAATCTGCGGCCCTCAGGCCTTGTTTTAATTGTTTTTGGTTAAACATTCTTTCAAGTGTTATATCCTTGGTCTGTCCACTTGCTGTACACAGATAACTTGTGGTTGCTGTGATGCTAAACACTGTGACACTGATGTGTTAAATGCGGTAATGGTTACCCATAGTGGACAGTTTTGGTGGAACTACCCAATTAAAACAAGCTTGGAAGCAAGAGTGGCATCACTTCCAACATAGCTTGCAGCCAGAAACTCTATGAATTTGGAGAAATGATGAAAGTTATACAAGTGCTCAGGTCTTGGGTTCATAGGGTCACTATGAGTTGTCTATGACTCGACGACACTTAACAACAAAAACATGCAAGGAAGATTTGTTAACACAACTATTATTCAAACATACGCTCTTACATAGAAAGCCAAAGAGAAGAAAATAAAAAATGTTTACAAACCTTGCAGTCTGAAATTAACCAAACATGCAGTCGAGATGCATTGAAGATAACTGGTGATTGGAATGCAAAAGCGGGAAACAGTGAAAAAGGAATACTAGTCGGAAAGCATGGACTAGGTGACAAGAAGGTGGCTAGAAGTAGAATGATAGAATTTTGCATTTCAATGATGTATTCATGTTTTGAAGGAAATCAAACATCAACTTTATACATGGGCCAAACTGTTGGACTGGATAGGAATCAAATTAGCTACATTTGCAGAAGGAATCATTGGAGAAGCTCAATATCAGCAGTCAAAACTAGACCAGGGGCAGACTGTGAGTGAGACCACCAATTACTTGAGTGCAAGTTCAAATTGAGGCCGAAGAAAATGAAAACAAGTCCACGAAAATCAAGATATGATCTTGAATACATCCTACCTGAATTTCAAAATCACCTTAAAAATAGGTTTGAAGCATTGAAAACCCATGTTTGAAGATCAGATGAGCTGTATGATAATTTCAAAGATATCATCCATGAAAAGAGCAAAACGTCATTCATTACAGAGGAGAAAGAAAAAAACCAAATGGATGTCAGAAGAGACTGAAGATTGCACTAGAGTGTCAAGGGGCCAAAACAAAGGGAAAACTTGTTGAAGTAAAAGAACTGAGTAGAAGATTGCAAAGAAGACAAAGCAAAATATTATAATGGAATATGCAGAGAGCTGGAATGGAGAACTAAAAGGGAAGAAATTGCTCTGTATTTCTCAAGCTAAAGACCTGAAAAGCATCAATATGTTGAACAATCCAGGAAATATCAAGAGAAGATGGAGGGAATACACTGAGTCACTGCACCAGAAAGAACTGACATAGAGAGAGATCAGCTGGTCCAGTGGACAGAAAGCGATGCTACCAAGTCAAAGGTGGGTGACTTTTAATCCACGGCCCTCGGGCCTGTCTTTCATTGTTTTTGTCCAGACTTTCCTCTAGGTTGTATAGCCCTGGTGTACAAGTTGCCGTACTGCAGCCACTTGTGGTTGCTGTGAGGCTGAACACTGTGACATGGACGTGTCAAATCCGTTAATGGTTGGCTACCCAATGCGGACAGAGAGTGGGGTGGAGCTCCCCAATGAAAACAAGTTTGGAAGGAGAAGTGCATTCCACTTCCTTAATAGCTTGCCTCCGCAAACCCTATGAACCTGGAGAGAGGATGAAAGGCACCCAAGCGTCGAGGACTCTCCTTCATAGGGTCGCTATGAGTCGCCTGCGACTCGATGGCACTTAACAACAACAACAACCACAACAACAACCACATAAGCAGGAGTCAATCAATGTTATTGAAGGAGGAAGGTGAAGCTGCATTGAAGGCTTTGGTAAAAACAAGGCCCCAGGAATTGATGGGATGCCAATTAATTTTTTTTTTTCAGTTAACAGATTCAGGCCTGGATTCAGTTAACAGATTTCAGTCTATGCCAGAAAATCTGGAGGATGGCTACGGGGCCAATGGCTTGGAAGAAGTCCATATGTGCCCATTCCCAAGAAAGGTAATCCAACAGAATGTGGAAACTATAAAAAAACACAATTAATATTTAATGTAAGTAAAATACTGCTGAACATTATTTAAAAACAACTATAGCAGGACCTAGATAGGAAACTATCAGAAGTTCAAGCAGGATTTAGAAGAGGCTCTGACACCAGAGCCTATGCAAAGACATTTGACTGTGTGGATCATAACAAGTTATGGCTAACATCGAGAAAAATGAGAATCCCAGAACACGTGTGCTCATGAGAAAACTAGTGTGTGATGTGAACAGAGTAAGGGAACAGCAAATGCCTTAAAATTAAGAAGGGAGTACATCAGGATTGTATTTCCCCCAATATCTATTCAATCTGTATGCTGAGCAAATTATTCAAGAACTTGGACTCTATGAAGAAATATGTGGCATCAAGATCAGAGGGAGACTCATCAATAAATTGTATAATGCAGATGACACAACCTTGTTAAAAGTGAGGAGAACTTGAAGCACTTACTGCAGAAGATCAAAGAATACAGCCTTTAATATGGATTGTATCTCAACATCAATACAACAAAAATTCTTACCACTGTACCAGCAGGCAACATCATGACAGATGGAAAAAAGATTGAAATTGTTAACAGATTCATCTTATTTGGATCCACAATCAACACTCGTGGTACCAGCAGTCAGGAAATCAAGAGACAAACCATATTGGGAAAGTCTGCAATCAGGGACCTCCCTAAATTTCTGAGGAGCAGTTTGAAGACTAAGGTGTGTCTGATTCAGGCCACGGTCTTTCTGATCACTTGCTATGCATCTGAGAGTAGGACAATGAATGAGTTGGACAATGAATGAAAATGAGAGAAGAAAAATTGATGCATTTGAGTTGTGGTGTTTGAGAAGATTAATGAACATCCTATGGACTTCCAAAAGAGCAAACAAATATGTCTTGGAGAAAATGCAGCCAGAGTGTTGGAGACAAAGATGATAAAGCTTCACTTCACATGCTTTGGGCATATTGCTAGGAGAAGCTATTCCTTGAAGAGGAACATCATGCTTGGAAAGGCAGAGAATCAGTGAAGAAGAAGAAGACCCTCAACCAGGTGGATTGACATGGTGACTGCTGCAGTGGCCTCTAGAGTGTCAGGAAGTGTGAGGATGGAACAGGATAGAACAAGGTTCAGATCTGTTGTTCATAGGGTCACTATGGATTGTACTCAATTCAACAGCACCTAACAACAACACCACCACACAGAGCTATAGGG